ATACAAAATGTCAGTTTTGTGTTCTCAGTTTGATACTTCTAAAACCTTATGTCTCATTAACTTGCTTTGTAGAGTTTTGAATCTCTTGTTGAATCAGTAATTAATAAGTATAATATTACATTAATGATCCTTTTTGAAAATGTCTGGTCTGTCACCTTATTAAGAAAGGTATTGAACTAACTCTTCATAAAGGACAGGAAGGGTGTGGTTCAGAAGATGAGAAGTTAGGCTGTCTCCTGGCTAACGCAAAGTTCAGAGATCATGACTCAAAATCAACTTTAATATGACTTCCTCTTAGATTCAGTTTTAGGAACCAATTACCACCCACCTAAAAGATAAAGACTTTACTTTTTACCCCAAAGCTACATGGATTGAATTCTAGTATTGTAATATATAAAGGTTTCTTATTTCTTTTTAAATGGACATTTATTATGAAAACAGGATATACTTGTAAAGGGGTCTCTGATACGATATCACATCTTTCTAGCTGACAGGTCTGTACTACTTACATACTACAAAAAAAAAATTGTTTCTTCATCTAACCTAACCCAAGACATATAACTCTCTGAAGTTCTTTAAATATTTTTTGTGTGCTTAGCAATATCAACTAAAAGCTGGAAAAACTCTAATTACCTGGTTTAAATTACTTAAAGTAATTTCTTGATGATATTCTGAACATTAATTTCATAGTACATCTTGCAAGAAAGTAATTGTGCAATTAATAATTCATTTATTACTCCTAATACAAAATAAAATTTCCTTTTATTAATAAAATAATGTGTTTCTTCTAGCAGCTTAAAGTACATAATGATAATATATGGGTATATTGTTGGATAAAACAGCAAAATTGTCTCCTTAGTTAAAAAATTGTTAGAATAATGAAATATATTTGCTACTTTCTTTGCATAGATATAAAAATAAAATATATAGATTGACTACTATAACCACTGACCTTGATTTTGGGGAAAAAATCATTTTATTTTATTTTTTGATATAATAAATTTTGTTCATTCAAGTACTCATTAAGAGAATAAAAAAGAAAGCCACAGCGGGACCACTTGTTTATAACACATACATCTAACAATTAACTAGTATTAATAAGGAATGTCTAACTATCAATAGTTTTAAAAAAACTACCTTAAAGATTTATATACACATCTTACAAAAGAGGAAAATAAAATTTCTAATAAACTTTAATAACTGTTTCATCACCAAACTTAGCAGTGAAGTGCAAATCGAAACCATACTGAAATACCACCATATACTTACAAGAAGGATTACAATTTTTTAACATCTTTATTATTATTTCTTGACAATCATGTGGAACAACTATAACTATCAAATAATTCTGATGGCAATGTGCATTGATATCTTTTGGGGGGAAACTAGTAGTATCTACAAAAGCTTTAATTATCCTATGATTAAAAAATCAGTCCTAGCAAAGTAGATATGAGTATTCTAAGCAACACTCTTCATAACACCCAGAACTAGAAACAACCCATATCTTCATCAACACTGCATTGAATCAATAAATTTATATAATTATATATTTATATATATGACACACATATATAGATATATGTATAAATGGATAAATGACATATATTAATATATATAAACATATATACCAGCTATTATATATTAACTGATAGAGATATAAATACAGATATATGATCAATGAATGCCATACAGCAATGGGAATGAAAAAGATAATGCTACACACAAAAAAAATTGATGAATATCAAAAAACTTCATGTTAAGGGAAAAAAATCAGACATTAAAATTTTAAAAAGCAAATTTATGACGACAAAAGTCATAGTATTTTGCTTTAGGGAATAGTGACTGTATGGGACAAGAGGAAAACTTTGAGGGTATTGGAAATATTCTATATACTGAACTGGCTGCTGGTTAGAGAGATTTGTTTATTTGATTTGTGAAAATTTGAGCTGTAAGCATGATATATTCAACAAAACATTACATCTAAATTTTCCCATCACAGTTTTCTAAATTATATGATTCTAGGCTTAGTGTCTTTCACTAGTGTAGTCCCGACCATGAGTAGTACTATAAAAAGTGTCCTACAGATAATTGAACCAAACTCCACTGCAAAAAACTATAGATAAGGTCTTGGAATATTAGATAACTGGTACATATCGAGGCAAGGAACAAGTCTAAGAACCTAAACTCAAATTTAAGCCTCCTACTTCCTGAGCTCATTCTACTTAATTAGGGAATTTATTCATTCAACAATGTTCTGGGGTTTTTTAATTTAATACCTTTACTTCTATTATTTACTAAAGTTCTTGTACTTCCCACCACACATTGCCCACTGTCTAATGATGATTTATTCCTCTATTTTAAGAAATAAATTATATGAATTATATATGTCAAGCTGCCTTATTTCATTTTTTCCTTATTTACTGCATAAATATAAGATTATTGCAGCAAAACCTCATGGTCATCTACTATAAACATTGAGCTTTATGAACCTCGACATATGCTAAGCACCTTCCAGATAGCACTTGCTATGTTACCCACTCTCTCCCGACAGGTACTTGAAGTGTTTAATTCAAGGAGAATTTGTCATAGTTCATGTTCTCACTTGATACAGCCCTTTATATAAAAAGTCATATTGTTACAAAATAGTATGGAGCCAAGAGTAAAGCACAAATTGTCAAAGACTTCCACTCTGATTATTTAACGGTCCTCCTCAGACATTTAGGCTACCTAACAAACTGAAGTTTCCTTTGCCTTTTCCAGCATGAGATCACAAATTAAGTGTTCTGTGGTTTTGCATACTTATGCTGCTACACACATACAGGAAACTTGATATTGCTGCTGTGCATAAGCTCTGTAGAAAACTTAAAGAATGGAATATGAATATGTTTGACAACTGAACTCAATGTTTATGTCTCTGCAAGCTTCTGGGTACAGTGACAAGAGCAAGCCAGCAAGAGGGGAGCAGAGACCAAAATGATAATTCCAAATAAATCGTGTTATGTTATAGACTGTTTGTATTCCCTCAAAACTCATATATTGAAATCCTACCCCCCAGTGTGGTGGTCTTAGGGGTGAGACATTTGGAAGGGAATTTGGATTAGATGAGATCATGGGGGTGGGGCCATCATGATGGAATTAGTTCCCTTGTAAGATAAGACAAAAAAAGAGTTTGCTTCCTTCCTCTGCTCTTTGCCATGTAAGGATTGTGTGAGAAAAAAGGCCATGTACAAACTAAGAAGACGCTCTCCCAGACACCAGATCTGCTGACACCTTGATCTTGAACATTCCAGCCCCCATAACTGTGAGAAATATGTTTATTGTTTAAACCACCCTGTCGATGGGAATTTGTTATAGCAGCTTGACAAAGAAACTGAAAAGAAACATCTCATCTGAAATGAATTCTATCAGCTGTTATTTCATAAATTGAACATAGCCTGAACTTGTTCTCAACCTAAAAACATATACCCTATTCAGGGCTTGTTGGACTTAATTTCTTCTTTTAAAATTGTTTCCCAATGCTCTTATCCAATTAACACCTTGGACATATAAGAACCCTTAAACAGTTTATTGACATTTACCGCTGGCCCTCCAGGCATCTGAAACCTTCTATAGTTAGAGAAATGGCTACTTGCATCCAAGGTGTGACAGGCAAAAGAATAAATTCTGGGGTGTTACTGAAACTGTACAAAGGATTGAAAACATATTACTCTATATCCAGAGGAAGAGAATTATCTCCAAAGAAATGCTCTTGTCAGCAGTGAATCAAATAAATGCTTTGCCTTACTGAACTCAGACGAAAAGAGATTTTTAAAAATATCAACATGAACCTACCATTTAGCTGAATAAATAATAAAAGTGCTTGTCCCCTCTCCTTTAATTCTATTTTCAACAATGAGAATATCACCCAATTTACAGCTCTTTGGACTTGATGAGTTTGTGAAATGCAGATGAATCCATGAAGTTAGAAAATAGCATTATAAAACTTGCTTCAGCTTATAAATTGATTCTGTCTGACACCAAAAACTTAACTGAAGATGATGCTGGGAATAGCCTGTTATTTAAAACTTCCTAATAAAATAATGTTGGTCATTTCTATACCCTTCTAGAATATTTTACTTTATCTGATTTTATTTTATTTTATTAGTATATAATCCCATTTAATACTTTCCTAGTTTTAGATTATATATTTACTTTGTCCAATCTAATGTTGATCTTGTGTTCCCTGTATTTTTCTTAATGAAATTTGCCATAAATTTGTCAATTTTTTAAAAGACAGAGTTATGTGTGTATTATTTAAACTAATATTTTTTCTACTTAATACATTTTTATTTACTTTTAAAAGTTTATTATTCTTCTATATGATTAATTTCTACACATAGAAGCATGGAAAACTCAACTCATAGGAACTGAATACAATGATGGTTGCCAGAGGCAGGAGGTAAAAAAACATGAGCAGATTTTGGTCAAATGACCAAATTTTAGTTATAAGATGAGTAATTTCTGCAGATCTACTGTACAGCATGCTGAGTATAGTTAATAATACTGAATTGCACCTTTAAAATTTGCTAAAGGAGTGAATCTTAAGATATTTTTTATCAAAAAAAAGTTCATGATGTGATGTGATGTGATGGGTATGTTCATCAGCTTGATTGTGCTAATCATTTCATAATGTATACATGCATCAAATCCCACGTGGTGCACTTTAAATATAGTACATACATTTTATGTGTCAATTATACCTCAATAAAGCTGCAGGGGGGAAAGGAACTAAAATTCAAAGTGTTTAAATTCAGTTGATTTCCCTCAACATTTTCATTGTTTCAGACCCAGAATGCAAGATTCTCAAAAAGATTTCCCTTAATATTTTTCTTCTCACCTACATGGTTTAGAAAAAACGATCATTACTGAGGGATTATTTTTATACTGACATTTTAGAGACACATTTCTTGCAGAATTTGGATAACAGCCTTTTCTCCTTATTAAAGAGGGAATTCACTTACTGTGCTATGCAAATGCTCCGTGCAGTTAGCATCAAAAGCCTTAGATGGCAATGGCACTGTGGTTCACAACCAACGACAGGATGGAGATATTCTGTTCAGAGTCAAAGTCTGTAAAACATGCAGAGGGGACAAAAATGATGGGAAGTGTCATCGTATCTTTCCTCCTTAAATACATTCTCCAGTGTTTCTGCTTATTTTTTATTTTGTTTTTAACATATCCACACCTGCCTTCTTCATACATGGCACTACATTACACAGTATTTAATTTTTCTTTTGTAAAAAATATAACTTGAGCCCTAGCCAGTTTTGTTCAGTGGTTAGAGCGTTGACCAGCAGCCTGAAGCATCCCGGGTTCGATTCCAGCCAAGGGCACACATTGGTTGCGGCCTTGATCCCCAGCCCTGACTGGGGCTAGCGCAGGAGGCAACCAATTGATGTGTCTGTCTCACACAGATGTTTCTCTTTCTCTCTCTCCCTCTTCCACTCTCTCTAAAAAGCAATGGAAAAAATATCCTCTGGTAAGAATTTAAATAAATAAATAAATAAATAAATAAATAAATAAATAAATAAATAAATAAAATAAA